GAAGAGAAGGAAGAAGGATGGAGAGGGAGAAGGAAGAGGGAGGGAAGGAGAGGGAGAGGAAGAAGGAGAAAGATGAGAGAGAGAGGAGAAAAGAATGATGGAAGGAAGGGAGAAGGAGAGAAGGAAGAAGGAAAGAAGAACAAGAAAGAGAGGATGAAAAGGAAATCGAAAGGAAGAGGAGAACAAGAAGAATACACATACGGAAAGAAGATAGACATACGTACAGAGAGATAGATGAAGAGAGAGATAGACAAACAGGCAGACATAGAGTTGCACACACACACACACACACACACACACACACACACACACATACACACACACATAATGGATAAAAAATAGATATAGAGAAAACAAAAACAACAACAATATCCCCGCCCCCTCCCCCCCCCCCCACATAAAAGTGCCATCGCCCCGCCACGCGCTCCGACGTGAGGTGACAATACCTGGCCGTAATTACTAGTAAGAGCGGCCGTCGCCAAGGTTGATGTGTGAGAAGATAAAGTGAAAGGACACGAGGCTCTTGCTGTCACGATTTTTTTTAAAGATTGTTATTACTTTCTTTTTTTTTCTTTCTTTTATTTATTTGTTCTTTTGTTTTGTTTTGTTTTCTTTTTTCTTCTTTCTTTTTTTCTCTCTGTCCTTCTTTCTTTTCTTCCTTCTTTCTTTAATTTCTTCTTTCTGTCTTTCCTTCCTTCTTTCTTTTTTTTTTAGTAATGTTTAAATTAATGCGATCTGTATTATCATCATCATAAGTCACTTTCATTATCTATTTTATCAATGTTGATTCATTATAATCATTATTTCCTTTTATCATCGCTTTTTTGGCTCTATGTTGATTTAATTACATTCTTGTTTTGGTTTTCATTCGCATATGTTCGTCTGTTTCTCGCCAAAAGATTTAAGAAAAGGCAGAGAGAAGAAGTGACAGAGAGAAATGTGCAAAGGTGTGATCTCCTCCATAGACACACCTTAATGATTATCTGTTGCCGTCGTCCATGAATTGATTTCCTGCTAATTAAGAGACCTCGGTGTGGCAATGGCTCCTTATTGTCTTGGAGGGGGGCGGGGCTAACCATTCGGTGTCTTTTTTTTTTTTTTTGTAATATCTCTCTCTTTCTTTGTTTTTGTTTTGTTTTTCTTTTTTCTCTCTCTGTCTCTGTTCTCTGTCTCTCTCTGTCTCTGTCTCTGTCTCTCTGTCTCTCTCTCTCTCTCTCTCTCTCTCCTCTCCCTCCCTCCCTCCCTCCCTCTCTATCTCCTTCTTCTTCTTCCAACAGAGATCGCTTTTACTTCCTCTCCTCTCGCACCATTACTCCGCGATGCATCATCATCCAGCTTCAAATTATGCAAATGATTCTTGTGCCAAAGCTGTAAAACAAAGGAGGCAACTCTGGCTCTCTCGCTCGCCCGTCCCCAGCTGATCGATCAAGCACCCAATCCCGAAGCCGCTGCACCTGTCACGCCGCCGTCACACCTGAGCTGTGTTGGTAAACCTTTGGCCATAAACACTGGGAGGTTTGTTTACCTTTTCAGCGTCCAGCGAGGAAGGGGGAACTCAAGAATATTTTTTTTTGGATAGGATTTAGTTTGTCTTTTTTTTGGTTTATTTATTGGATAACTCGTCGAATTATTTGATTTTTGATACATAAAACCAGCTTCGAACAAACTGACACAATGATGTATCACATTCGTCGTTCGTTTACTTAGGAATTCGATACCTCGTCGAATTATTCGATCTATAATACACAAAACCAACCTCGAACAATCTGACACAATGATGCATCCTAATGAATCCCTTATGGACTCTTGTTTTCTCCCAGCAAAGGATAACGAAGACGCCCATCCTTGCCAGGACATAAAATATTCGCGCGTGTCTGTCAGTAGCAGTTGTCACTCCTTGTGCTACACAGCTGTTAGTGACACCTACCGGCTGAACTGCATACCCATCAACGCCATCTATCAGTTGGAAGAGGCATTAATCAACGCCAACGGGTGAAACGAACAGGTTCCCTCCTCTCTTCTTGAAAGACAAAGTGAGACAGAAAAAAAGATAATTTTCACAAAAGAGAAGAAGAAAAAATAGAATGCGTAATTTTGGTAAATCATTCGGCCAACTTTTCTATTAGAGAGAGAGAGAGAGAAGAGGAGAGAGAGAGAGAGAGAGAGAGAGAGAGAAAGAGAAAGAGAAGAGAAAGAGAAAGAGAAAGAGAAGAGAAAGAAGAAAGAGAAAGAGAGAAAGACAAAGACAAAGAAAGACAGAAAGAGAGAGAGAACCTACCGAAAAGAGACAAACACGCACAGAAGAAGAACAAAACGGTAGTCGAGAGAGAGAGAGGGAGAAACACCCTAACGTGTAAACTCTTAATACACTGAGTAATAGGAAGTGTTCATTCATACCTCCAAGAGTGTCAGCTGCCGCCCATCCCAGCTCAAACGCCCGTCAACTGCCGCCCACGATCGGCTACACGCCCGTCAGCTGCCGCCCATCGTCGCCCACGCTCTGTGATTTACTGTCCCATTAAGAGCTGCTCTTTCGGCGTAGGAGGGAGTGAGGCGGGGGAGGGAGGGGGAGGGGAATGGGAGAGGGGGGGGGGAATTGAGGCGGAGGGAGGGAGGTGAGTGAAGCGGGGAGGGGGGGATTTAGGGGGGAGGGGGGGAAAAGAGAGGAGGGGAGGAGAGAGGATGAAGGAGGAAGGGAAAGTAGGGAGAAGGGAAGGAGAGGAGAAATTGAGGGGGAAGGCGAGAGAGAGGAGAAAGGAGAGAGAAGAGAAGGAGAGGAAGAAACGAGACGAGAGAGAGAGAGAGAGAGAGAGAGAGAGGAAGGAGGAGATTAAAGAAGAGGGAACACGACAGAATAAGGAGAAGAAATAGCGAAGCAGAGGACAGGGAGGGGAAGGAGAGGGAGCTATAGAGGCGAGAAGCAGCACGAGAGGGAGAGGAGAGAGAGGAGAGAGGGGGGAGGGGACCACACCTTCGCGCTACCTAATGGAGAGTGGGGAGGGGGGGGGGGGGGGCGACCGCGTTGGCCAAAGGCTCCGTCGATTCGGAGTCAATTTTCCGGTTATGAATAAACATCCGAACATCCGATGTATGGTACGGGTTCGTGCGCCGTCCGGACTGGAGTAAATAGGCGTCTAGATCTTTATGTGGATGGATGAGTGGGTTGCTTTGCGTGCGTGCGGGAATCTGTAGACATATGTACATAAAGCACACACATACAGAAACACACACGCATACATATATATGTGTGTGTTTTATGTATATGTACACACACACACACACACATACACACACACACACACACACACAGACAGACAAACACACACACACATCCACATCCACACACAACAAACACACACACACACACAGACACACACATAGTCACTCACATATACATACATACACATCACATACATGCAGCTTATCCCTGTATATCTGTTGGGGGATTTAAATGAGGAACAATATTATTCCATGAGTACCTTCCTTCGGGTCCATTTCGAACTCGCACATGCCCCAGCAGGACGCACATACGCACACATGTTAATCAGCAGGAATCGGAGACACGTCCCTGCGCTACCGAGGCATCCTACTGAAGGAGGAGGAGGGCCTTTAACTCTCCCCTCCCCCCCTCCCACCCGCCCCCCCTCCTCCCTCCTTCGCTGTCTTCGTTTCCCTTCTACAGAGTAACTTTTTACACATTTCTTCTTTATTTTTGCGTTTCCCTTCAACAGATTATTATTTTATTTTTTTTATTTCTCCTGTTATTTAACGGGACATTGGTGTCTGTGAGAGAGAAATCCTCACGGGAAACGGATCCTCACAGACAGGGAGGGACTTCGTTGGCATTCTAAGGGAGCCAAAGGAACCCATTTCGTATTCCCCGCACAGGGCCAGGGGCGAGGGGCAGGATGGGAGGGAGGGGGAGGAGAGAGGGGGGAGGGGCAGGGATTGAGTGGGAGGGGGGCATGGGAGGGAGGGGGAGATGGGAGGGAGGGGGAGAGGATAGGGAGGGGGAGGATTGGGAGAGGAGGGGGAGGCGAGGGATAGGAAGGGGTGAGAGCAGGAGAGACAAGGGAGACTGGGAAGAAGGGGAGACGAGTGAGGGAGAGTGGGAAGAAGGGGAGGAGAGTGAGGGAGAGTGGGAAGAAGGGAAGGAGAGTGAGGGAGAGCGAAGGACGCGAGACACGAGCAAAGGATCAAGCTAACTGTGCTCCGTCGATCCTTCTGCGCCTTCTGCACGAGCGCCGAGGACCCTCGCCGAGCGCATGTCCAGGCCGACGTCACCATCACGGAGGAGGCGACGGGGCTTATCGGGGGCCGACGGGTGGGCGGCGTGCGACGGTGGCCGCGCCGTCGGAAACGAGACCGAAGTCTTGACTCGCCTCCGTCGCGCCTCGCTGGGTCACGGGCGCTGAGGGCGGGTTTTTGTCGCGTTCTGGAACCGATTTTGTTTTCTGGATTTCGGGATTTTTGAATCTGCATGATGGCTCTTGCGGATTTATTTGTTTTGTGAAGTACAGACAGAATAGAATTGGAATGCAGTGGAAATTTCATAAGTGAAATAGCCATTTTTTCTCCGTTTCAGAGGTGTGGTTGCACTACATACACACAAATACATATGTGTGCATATACATCATATATGTGTGTATGTATGTATATATATATATATATATATATATTATATAAACAATATATGTAAACAACCTATGAAATAAAGTGTCAGAACCAACACTCCTTCGGCAACATTTTGTGGCTTGGTGTGCTTTTCGGCCGCACCCCTGCCCCCCCCCCCCTCCCCAAGTGTATCAGCATTTTCAACCTACGCACAGCCACAAAATCGCTTGTAAACACACAAACATGTATAACCAGTCTTACACACGCACACGCACACACGGACCCACACCGACACTTCGAGACGCACAGGAACACCCTCACAGAAATGCAAATTTGGAAATCATGCATTATTTATTGCGTAATAGGCTATTACATTTTATGACTTAATGACTGTGATATTGCCGGCAAATGACTTAGATGATCTTTCTTGCTCTCCGCAGGGTGCAGGTCTTGCAGTGAGCGGGCGTCGGGCCTCCGCCGCCTCCCCCTCGCCGCCCCGCCCCGCCCGCGCCGAGAGGGAGATCAGAGCGACGCCCTTCAAGAGGAGCAGGTCAAGGGTCTACTATGCCTCGCAGACCTCAGACAACTGGCCCGGTGACGGCGGCGCGGGCAAGGACAAGGCGGTCAGGCGCAACATCAGCCTGAGTCCCACTCGAGGCTCCTCCTCGAGCGCCGCCAACGCGGTCGTCACGCCCGTCGCGAAGACGACGCCCGCCGCCAAGAGCGGGTCGGCCTCGAGGAGCTCATCCAGGAGCGCCCCGGCGTCGCGGGCCGGTTCGGCGCGCAGGGCGGGCCACAAGGAGCCCGCCATCCTGGAGGTCTCGAGCTCGGGGGAGGAGGTGGGCGAGGGCGAGGGCGAAGGGGAGGCCTCCTCCCCCCTGGGCTCCTTCAGAGGCTCCCTCAGGGGCTCCCCCTCCCACCGCTCGCAGGACTCCGGCTACTCGGACTCCGGGGAGTCCAACGCCCACAACGACAGCGACGGCTCGCCGGCGACGCCCCCGAACGTGAAGCACATCACCCGCGTCTACTTCGGCGACAGCCACGACCCGGCGCGCCTCTACAACGACAAGATCGTCTGCTCCCCCGAGCTCAAGGCGGGCAAGGTGAGCGCCCCGAGCGGCAGCCCCGCCAGCCTGGCCTCGGAGGCGTCCTCCGCAAGCAGCGGCAGCAGCCCCGGCGAGCGCCGTGCGGCCCCCCTCGAGGAGCTCGCGGAGGAGCTGGAGCACAAGGCCTGGAGGCCTCGGCGGCTGCGGCGGCCGACGCACGGGCGCCGTCAGGAAGAGGAGCACGAACGCGGGCTCCTCCTCGGCCTCGGACGCCAGCAAGCGGCACTCGCGGAGGAGCAGCAGCTCGACTGCGCTCTCGGAGCCTCGGCCAGACGCAGCTCGCCGCCCCGCGCCCCTAAGGGCCCGGAGGCGCTGGTCTGCGGCGGACCTGCAGCAGCAACAGCCACACCAACTGCAGGAGGATCAGAGGCCGCGCAGGCAGCAGCCGTCGCCTGCAGCGCCGCCCACACACGCCTCGCGAAGCACCAGCACCAACGACCTGCCGTCGAGCGCTCGCGCGGGCGTGACCTGCTCGCTCGACGCCCTCGACGACCCCGTGCCGGCGTCGCGGGTGGCGGGCGATTGCGACACACACCCCGAGGCCCTTCCACGCCTCTACGACGCCCTCCGCACGCGAGACCCACACGCCCCGCGCCCGCCCGCATCACGCCCGGCGCCTCAAAATACATCCGGCTGCCATCGCCCAGGAGATGAGGTAAGTGCCCTTTCAGCAGACCTTCGAGCGCAATCTCGAACATTACAAAAACGCATTGGCTCCAGCAGGGAATTTTACAACTTCGTGAATTACCTTAATTGACCCAGTCGCTCGCTCCCTCGCCCCTACACTCGCTCGTTAAGGGTTCAAGAAGGTTGCGATCCCAGCGTGGGGCGCCGCCAAATATCCACAGGAACCACAGAAAAGGACAATACATACACAGTAGAAAGATAAACAAGTAGACACACAAACACACAGACAGTATATATGCACGTTTTTACACATATATGCACCATGTATACACCTGCATAGATAAAAAAACATACACGTTTTTACACATATATGCACCCTGTATACACCTGCATAGATAAAAATACTTATTCGGTTATTTGTATATGAATTAGGTGCGAGCAGCAAAAGAGCTAGTCAGCCATTAGGCTCGTTTTCCGTCGTAAGTGGAACTGGCGGGGATTTTATTACCGGCTTCGGCCTCTCTCGACGTAATGAGGGGAGGGGGGAGGGAAGGAGGATGGGGAGGGGGAAGGAGAGGGGTAGCGGGAAGAGAGGAATAGGGGAGGAGGAGGAGGGAGGAGGAGGGAGGGCGAGTGAGCAGGGGAGGGGAGAGGGAAGGAGAGGAGGAGGAGACGGAGGGGGGAGGAGAGGGATTGGATGAGAGGAGGGGAGGGGGAGGAGGAAGAGGAGGAGAGAAGAGGAGGAGAGGGGAAGGAAGGGGATTATTTTGAAGGGGGAGGGAACGAAGACAAGAGGGAGGGGAAGTTGGGGTGACGAGTTAGAGAAAAAGGGTGGAGGAGGGTGGGGAGGGGAAAAGATGGGGAGGGTGCATATAAAGGAAATTCGATGTCGGAGGGAGGGGGGAAGGAGGAGGGGGTAGCGGGGGGGAGCGAGGGATGGGAGGGGTGAGGAGATAGGGAGGGAGGGAGGGTGAGGAGGGGAGGAGGGAGGGAGGCAAGGGTGAGGGGGAGAGGGTGAGAGAGGGTAGGAGGAGGGAGGGAGGGGCTGGCAAGGCGAGGGGGGAGGAGGGAGGAGAGGCATAAAGAAGATCATCATTTCCTTCCTTTAAAGCATTGTGTTTTTGAAACTCGATCTCTCCATCTTTTTGCATTAAGGGGGGGGGGAGGGCAAGAGGTAGGGCGTGGGGGGAAAGGTAGGGGGGAGAGGGGAGAAGGAGGAGAGAGGAGGAGAGAGTAGGAGAGAGAGGGGGGGAAGTAGGGGAGGGGGAGAAGTAGGGGGGAAGGAAGAGGAAGGGAGGAGAGAGAGGAGAACTAGGGAGAAGGGAGAAGGTAAAGAGGAGAGAGGGAGCGAAAGAGAGAGAAGAAATAACTACGTGGGGGAAAGAAGTATGGAGATAGAGTAAAGAGAAGAAAGAGAGAAAGAGAAAGAAGAAGTAGTGGAGGGGGGGGTGGAAGAGGGGGGAGGAGATATAACAGGGAGGAAATTAAGCTCGAATTAAAGTTCCTTTTGTTTACGGCGTGCAATGTGCCCCTTAATGGCAGGGGTCCCGGTGAAATACCCCCCTTTAAAGTGCGATTATACTTCTACGGGTAAAGAATGTCCTCATTTTCCGCCCATCTCGAACACTTACAACTCATAATAACACGAAAGAAAAGGAGAAAGAGGTAATAAATAATACGAAGTGCGAAGAGGGCGTAACAGGTAATGGCGAGGACAAGAAGACGTAAGGGTAGAAGAACAAGAAGAAGAGAAATACGAGGATCAAAGGGGGATTCGGCGAGTGTGAAAATAATATCGAGTCTATAGCGAGTGTGAAAAATTAAAAAGAGATATTGTCTATAATATTCGCCCTCTCCCCCTCCCCCTCCCCTCCCCCCCCCTACCGTCCCCAGTACCTATGTTTGTCGCTGTTGTTGTTTAGAAGCTCCAGACGCGACCCAGTTGTACCTTTTACAAGCGCCCCTGAGAGACCCCTGAGTGCTTAGTGTTGCTCACCCGTGGCTTGAGGGACGCGGTCACACACGAACGCTTTGACCTCTGACCCTTAACCCTTCCTCCTCCTCCCACCTAAGCTCCCCGACGCTGGCAGTATCCCCCTCCCTACCCCATGCCCCTCCCTCCCCTCCAGCCAACCCACGCTAAAACTACCGACGACTCAACATGTCAATAACGTGTCAGAGATGATGTATGTGTTAACCCCGGTATGGTTGGGTTCCTTGTGATGGCTGCCAGAGTTCATGTTGTACAGGTATTTAACAGATTAATACCAGTGGGATATATACGAATGTAGAATGATAGATAGAAAAATATATAGAAATAGATAAAAATATATAGATAATATATTTTTAATATATTTAAATATATTTTAATAATTTTTTAATTTTTAATTAAATAAATTTAAATAATATTTAAATATTTAAATATTTTAATATATTTAAATAATTAAATAGATAAATACCCAGACAGACACGGGTATCGGCGGTCAAAGGAAAAAGCCGATTTAAGTGCCATTTTCGGAGAAATTGTCGATATCGCCGATTTTTCTGATACGGAGTGGGCGAAACTGGAACTAAAGTAAATGATAACATTTTCGGAGAAATTGTCGATATCGCCGATTTTGATTTACGGAAGTGGCGCGAAAACTGGGAACTAAAGTAGGAATGTAACAATAATCTAAAGTCGGTGGTTCACCGTGCGCGCGTCCAGATGGCGTCGGCGGAGTAGGGCGAGAGGGCGGGGGACGTAATAATACGTGTCTATTTACTAGGGGGGGGGGGGAGGCTTTCATATGAATGATAATAAGTGTATATTTACTAATGCTGACCAAGATAAGAACGAGAGGAAGGAAGCAATTACGGAGATAATAGTGAGAAAATACACGTTGATGACAATTGTGCAAGAGAGGTGTGGAAGGAATAATAAAAAAGTTCAGGTGCTGCATTATTGGGTAAGAAATAGCTCTGTGCAGGATTGAGATGTTATCGGTCTGAGAGAGAGAGAAAAAAAGGTCAATAAAATGCAATTGTGACACACAAGCTATAATCAATCGCTTTTACATGGTAATGAAATGCGCTATCGTTTTTTTTTTTTTTTTTTTTTTTTTTTTGGTCGAGATTTAACTCATTCTCTCTCTCTCTCTCTCTCTCTCTTCTCTCTCTCTCTCTCTCTCTCTCTCCCTTTCGCTCCCTCCTCCTCTCTCTCTCTCTCTCTCTCTTGATTTCTGATGTTGCATGCTGTTTTTTTTTATATTCTCTCTCTCTTAGTCTTCTAAGTAGTGTAGAAGAATCAGGGACGCCGTGGAGTTAAGAACACGCAAACATATAAGGCTTTTTTTTTAAATTGAATTCTCTCGATTTTAATTGAGAGAGAAAGAGAGGGAGAGGGAGAGGGAGAGGGAGAGGAGAGGGAGAGGGAGAAGAGGGGGGAGGAGGGAGAGGGAGGGAGAGGAGAGGGAGAGAGGGAGAGAGGGAGAGAGGAGAGGGAGAGAGGGAGAGGGGAGGGAGAGGGAGAGGGAGAGGGAGAGGGAGAGGGAGGGAGAGGGAGGGAGAGGGAGAGACGAGGGAGAGGGAGAGAGGAGTCTGAGAGGAGAGGGAGAGAGGAGGAGAGGAGAGGGAGGGGAGCGAGAGAGGAGGGAGAGGAGAGAGAGAGGGAGAGGGAGAGAGGGAGTAAGAGAGAGGGGAGAGAGAGAGTGAGAGGGAGAGGGAGAGAGAGAGGGAGAGAGAGGAGGAGAGAGAGGGGAGAGAGAGAGAGAGAGAGAGAGAGAGAGGAGAGAAGAGAGAGAGAAGAGAGAGAGAGGAGAGAGAGAGAGGAATGAAGTTAAATGTCACAAAGAACAAACAAACAACAAAACAAACACAAACAACAACGATAGTGGGAGTGGGCAGGAAACGCAGAGAGAAAGACGTCAAGAAAAACAAGACGAAACAAACAAAAAAAATCAAAACACTTCGAGGAAATCCACAAACCTACAAACAAACAAAACAAACAAAACAAAACACCAAAAAACCATCCCAATTTGACCAAGAAGACGAAAATTTTCAGCGTTCCAGGATTCCCGACACTGGCGCCAGCTCCCATGACCTTCCAGCGAGGGTGAACGTACGTCTGTCAACATTGACACGGGGGAGAAATCGTCGTACCGAGACCACAAACACTCACGTCATCTCTGGGTTACTGGTGCTTGTGGGAGAAGCTGGAGGAGGGGAGGAGGAGGAGGGTTTGGGGACGGAGGGAGAGGGGAGAGAGGAGAGAGGTGGGGAGGAGGGGAGGAGGAGGAGGGAGGGGAGGGAGGGAGAGGAGGAGGGAGGGGGGAGGGAGAGGGGAGGGAGGGAGGAGAGGGAGAGGAGGAGAGGGAGAGGGAGGAGGGAGAGGGAGAGGGAGGGAGGGAGGAGGGGAGAGGAGAGGGAGAGGAGAGAGGGAGAGGGGAGAGAAGAGAAGGGGAAGGTGAGAGGGAGAGGGAGAGGGGAGGGAGGGGAGAGAGGGGGGAGGGAGGGAGGGAGGGAGGGAGGGAGGGAGGGAGGGAGTGAGAGAGGAGAGAGAGAGAGAGAGAGAGAAGAGAGAGGGAGAGAGCGCGAGAGGAGAGAGATGATAGATAGATAGAGATAGAGGAGAGGAGAGAGAGGAGAGGAGAGAGGGAGGAGAGAGAGAGGGAGAGAGAGAGAGAGAGAGAGAGAGAGAGAGGAGAGGAGGAGAGAGAGAGAGAGAGAGAGAGAGAGAGAGAGAGAGAGAGAGAGAGAGAGAGAGAGGAGAGAGAGAGATGAGAGAGGAAGGAGAGAGAAGGAGAATTGCTAAGAGCAATGGGAAGAGAAGAAGGAGAGAAGAAAAAAGGAAAGAGAAGAGAAGAAAGACAGACAAGATAAGAGGAGAAAAGAGAAGAGCAAAAGAAAAGAAAAGAACAGAAAGAGACATATCGAACAAAATCCACACAGCCCCCCCTCCCCCAAAAAAAAAAAAAAATCGAAAAAAAAGTGAAACTAAAATTAAACAAAATCAGAATTAACACAGAAATCTCACGGTTCTCGCGACGA